TCCCCAGATTAACTAAACCATTCGAGGAGATTTCATCGGTGACCAATCGTGTGGTACACCACATAGTCACCCGCGGACCACCAGTCACGGCAAGACCACGCCGACTGGCACCGGACAAATTAGCCTTCGCTAAACGTGAGTTTGACAATTTACTATCTGCTGGTATTATTCGTCCTTCTCACAGTCCTTGGGCCTCTCCTTTACACATGGTGCGCAAAAAGGATGGGGTTAGTTGGAGACCATGCGGCGACTACCGAGCATTAAACGTAGTTACGCGCTTTGATAGCCACCCCATCCCCCACATACACGACATCACGGCATCGCTCAAGGACACGACTATCTTTTCTAAAATCGATCTGGCACAACCATATCACCAGATCCCAGTCGCTCTTGAAGACATCGAGAAAACTGCTATCACGACTCCTTTCGGTCTGTTTGAGTTCCTACGAATGCCATTTGGATTACGAAATGCTGCTCAAACTTTTCAAAGGTTTATCGATAGCATAGTACGAGACTTGGATTTTGTTCACGTCTATATTGATGACCTGCTGATCGCATCATCAAACGTAGATGAACATTATCAACACCTTACGCTATTATTCCAACGTCTTTCGGATAATGGAATAGTAGTCAACCCAGAGAAATGTAAATTGGGTAAATCAGAAATAATATTTCTGGGTCACATCATCAGACAAGAGGGTATTCTGCCTTGCGAGGACAAAATTCGAGCAATCAAGGAGTACAACGTGCCGTCCTCACTCAAGGAACTGAAGGCTTTTCTCGGTTTGGTTAACTTCTACCGACGTTTTATCCCTCACGCGGCAGAACGGTTACGACCATTAACCGATTTACTACGCGGTAATCCACGCAAATTAGAACTGAACGATACCGCACGTACTGCATTCTCAGAGATCAAAACGGCTCTCGCTGAAGTTACACTTCTCGCTCATCCTGACCCATCAGCCACGCTTAGTATAGCGGTTGATGCATCGGATTTTGCCATAGGAGCCGTTATGCAACAGAATATCTCCGGTAGTTGGCAACCGCTTGAATTTTTCTCACGACGCCTTACTCCCACGGAGACGAGATATAGCGCTTTTGGTCGCGAGCTGCTTGCAGCCTACTGCGCCATCAAACATTTCCGGCACGCAGTAGAAGGACGTCAATTCATTTTATTCACCGACCATAAGCCCTTAACGTATGCCCTGCATACCAAGTCTGACCGCTACTCACCACGAGAGTGCAGACATTTGGACTATATCTCCCAGTTCACGACAGACCTTCGTCACATTAAAGGCGAGTCGAACTATGTTGCCGATGCTCTATCACGTATCCAGACGAATGCAGTTACCTTACCGGTGCTCGATCTTCCTGCTGTGGCCGCCGCACAAGCAAACGATCCTGTCTCTACAGAAGCACCACAATCTTCGTCCCTTCAGTGTCAGGAAGTACCCCTAGCTACTAGCTCAGGTACTATCCTATGTGATATTTCTACCGGTCTACCTCGACCCATCGTACCCTCTACCTATCGCCGTCTCGTCTTTGATGCCCTTCATGGATTGTCTCATCCAGGTATCGCAGCCACATTACGTCTCATCGCTGCACGATACGTCTGGCCGTCCATGAATAAAGATGTCCGTATGTGGGTAAAGCAATGCTTACGAGTCGAATTAAACCGCAGGCTCCACTCCTGGTGGTGCCCTTCCGTCAATTCCTTTAAGTTTCAGCTTTGCAACCATACTCCCCCCGGAGCCCAAAGACTTAAAGGTTTCCCGGGGACTGCCCGCGATGTCAATTATAGAACCAACGCGGATCGTCAGTTGGCATCGTTTATGGTCAGAACTACGACGGTATCTGATCGTCTTCGAAACTCTGACTTTCGCTCCTGATCAATGAAAACATTCTTGGCAAATGCTTTCGCTGTAGTTTGTCTGGCGGCGATCCCAGAATTTCACCTCTAACACCGCCATACAAATGCCCCCGTCTGTCCCTCTTAACCATTACTTCGGATCCGAAAACCAACAAAATAGAACCGAAGTCCTATTTCATTATTCCATGCAAGAATTTTCAGGCGCACAGGCCTGCTTTGAGCACTCAAATTTGTTCAAAGTAAAGATGCCGTCCGCTCCCGACACCCGTTTAAAGGCATCCGGAAGCATGCCGACAGGTCAACAAGACGAACTCGTCAACCCACCAGCACCCGTTTAACACAGACACGGCTGAAAGGCTGCACAGCCACTACACCGAGCTGAACACGTCCTGATCGTAACCAAAACAGTGAACAAGCAACGGCATGCGACCGCACGACCCAGATCCAACTACGAGCTTTTTAACTGCAGCAACTTTAATATACGCTTTTGGAGCTGGAGTTACCGCGGCTGCTGGCACCAGACTTGCCCTCCAATTGGTCCTCGTTAAAGGATTTAAATTGTACTCATTCGAATTACGGAGCCTCAATTGAGTCCCGTATTCGTATTTTTCGTCACTACCTCCCCGTGCC